AGGTTCTCACCGGGCGACCCCCTCTGACCTCCATATTGGGTCACTGGTCTGTTTCACCATCCCTCGACCCCCAGACCCCTGACCTTCTGGGAGCCAAGAACTCGCAGTTTCCACTGTGACTTGGTCTTGTTGATGAGTGTGTACTCATGTGTGTCTGCAGCAGAGGCATGGGACTGAATTCCTTTAAGTTAAAGAACATTTTTTTATAAATGTGGTCTCTTATAGGGCTGCAGAATCTAATTACGGTCTCTTCACTTAGAGCATTTTTAAGCTGCATTTTAGAATTGCCTCAGGAATCTGACATTCTTTTAACCATCCTGAGGGATAGCAAGTCATCTTGCTTTGTAGATGGTATAGACATAACTAGTCTTTGTCAGAGGTCATGGTGATTATGAAACCAAGAAAAAAATTTTTTTTTCATTCAAGGCAAAGCATTGGTGATAAAAAAGATCACTTTTTTTTGTGCCTGACCCCAAACACATTCCAAAAAGATGTGCAGCAGAGGCCACATGACTGGAACAAGCCTGTTCAGGTGGCTCTCTGAGAGGGCAGCACACTCATATGGAATTCTCATGTGTGTTTAAAGCTGTTAGGCCCATCACCTTCAAACACATCTTCTATGAGGATGTGCAGTGTGTCTTTCTCTGAAGTTCTTGCTGGCATCATGAGGTCAAGATCATAAAATGCATGTTTAGTTATAAACAAATATCAACCAAACATTGAGCCACACATGTGGCTCAGTACTTATTGGAAGTATTGGTGTTGCATAATACAGCTCCTAGTGCAGACCTTAAAGGTACCACTTGGTCAAAATCAGAATTTCACATCTTCTGATCTGCTTTAACTGATATAGCATTATCTAAATTCCTCACTTCAGACCAACAAAATTTGTCCTGTTCTCTGTACTACAGAGGATTAGTTAGGGAACCTGAGAGCTCACTGCAGGCTTAGCCTTTGGCATCTTCTGCCCAGGGTCTGGAGCTGCCAAATGACACACACAGATGGGAACACAAGGGAGTGGCTCAGCAGATCTCCCTCTGATCTTAGGTCCTGCAGGCAGCCCTTTGTGCTGTGTGGATGGGGAGCAGACCCTGTCCTGTCGAAACAGAGCAAGGCCTGAGAGCCAAAGAGCACAGCCACTTGTCTTCTGATGGAGAGGTAGGGTGGCTGTGTGTGGATTGGCAGTTTACATCTCTGACTGTCCTCATCTCAAGACACAGGGGTTAGGCTCTCTTGTGAATCATGTTTTGTGCTGTACATTGGATTTGAAAGATCTCCGTGAGGGCTGCTAACCACAGAATTCTCTGAAATGGCTCTGTGAACAACCAGTGCCCAGAAACCCTTCCTGAACTAGCCAGGCTTGTGATGGAAGGAGGGAGAGAGAGGCAATCAGGTGCTGCTGGGGGATGGGATGAGGGGCGTTTGTTCTGCAGACAGAGCTCCCCTTTACTGTGGAAGTCCAGCTTGCTGGCTCTAGGGCTGGCTCTAACATTTCAGAGCTGGGGTTGAGCAAGATCCTCATGTCCTTCCAGAGAGGACATTCTTGGGATCCTCTTACAGCTGGGCTCCTGTTTCAGATGTGGCGACTTCAGTCCTGCCCTCCTGTACATGATGCGGGGGTACTGCTGGCCCTTCATGGCCACAACAGCATGTGCACTCTGCCCATGTCCTCAATGGTCAGGAGATGACTGCCCTGGTGGGCTTCTGGTGGCCCAAGAACGGTGTCAGAGGAAAACCAAAGAGCTGCAGCTGCAGGAAGACAGGGCCTATCTCTACTGTAAAATTACCCTATCTCGATAATTTTGTCCTTATCAACAATTTAAGGCCCAACCTCTGCTTAGTGAACATTTGGTTGCCTAATTCTGTTCAGAAGAACTCTCTCCCTCATCCATTTTATCCTGATTTAGTCCCTGAGCCTCAGAGACAAGTCCCTGTCAGTACTGTTTGTGGCAAAGCCACAATCCAGGAAGGGAGAGCTGCCTTGGTGGAGCTGAAGGTCAGCTAGGAAGCCCCCAGTGTCCCTCAGCAGGGAGCCTTGGTCTCTCACCTCTGCTGCTGATCCAGTAGGCCGATGCCTCTGGAAACTGGAGTTTCCAACCCAGAGAAATTAATGAGGATTGTTGTTCTCTGGTGAGGCTTTCTGTTATTTTAGTAAAAGGAATGATCTTTAAACTTGTACTTCTCCATGAAAGTCCCTGGGTTCTCATGTCACTTGCTTCCTCAAGTCCCTTGAGACTTACACCTTGTGGTTGTTGACTTTTTCTGTGACCCTCAAGAGATGGGGCAGGTGGTGTGGGGGGGTAAGATAGATATGTAGTTTCACTAGGAAGGAGTCTTGGGTCAAAACTAATTTGGGAGGTAATGAAAACAGGAAGCACTACAGTTATTGACTCAGCCAGAGGCAAGGGACTTGCCCGCATGTCCTCATCATCAGTGAGAGGTGGTTCTGTTACCAGCATTAGCTGTCACCTCACTCCTGCAACCATCCATACTTTCCATTTACCCTCCCACTTGGCTCCTGCTGCATTACTGACAAAATCACCACCTGTCCTGACGCATGCTCAAAAGCAAATTCTTCTGGGCCCAAGTCCTCTTCAATCCTGTTAGGGGACTTGGTGCTGGAGTCTCCTGGGGAAGCAGGTCAATCCTTGCACTCTTGGATTGGGCCTCTTTCTTGGTTGGTTGGAGACAATGACAGTGTGTAATAGAGGTGCCATCTTGATCCCCTGTGGTTGAGCCTCTGTGTGTGTGTGTGTGTGTGTGTGTGTGTCTGGGCATGCGCGGACATGCATACAAGTGCTCTGAGAGCAGTGGGCCAGCTGCACTGCTGACTGTCCCCTGTTCAGTTGCAGGCCCAGGGCTTACTGTCTAGCCGACAGTGATGAGGAATCCTCTAGTGCTGGCTCCTCTGATGAAGATGATGCATCAGATCCCAGTGGGGGAGACAAACAGCTCCTCCCAGGGGCTGAGGGGTAAGTGGATAAGGGCTTCTGGAGACTCCAGGGGTCAGGGTGGCAAGTTGAGAGTAAACCTTTTTTTCCCCTCTTTCCTCCGTAATCTTTTCCTCCTTAACAGTGAGTTGAGTGATTTTTTGCATTAATAGCCAGTGTCAGTGGCTTGTTTAAATTCCAAGTCACAGAGAGAAAAGACTTGTATAGCTTTTCTTTCTTAAGAGGGTACTGACACCATGGCTCTCTCTTGCTGTGGGTACTCCCACAGCAAGAGAAGGTGAACTGCATGCTCACTGTGCAGAGCCCTCCCTGGATCTTCAGAGGGGCCTACCCTGCACACCACCTCCCCCTGGTGCCCAGTGGAGAGAAGAGAACCTCCCTCTCCTGAAGCTGGACCCACTTGCTGCCCTGGAGCTACTAGTCCCTACAAAGCTGAAACCATTCAGATGATATCTTGGGTGTATTTTTTAAATATGAATGACTTAGCTGATCTTCTAGATTATGAACTTCATTTAGGGGCTCTCTTTGCTCTCTTTGTTACTTGGATAGCAGAATTATCAGAGTGCTTAAACAGCCTGTCTATAAGGATCTTTGAATTATTAAAAGGGAGCTGAAGAAACTTAAGATTACTGAGAAGTCAGATGATTCAGAAACTTTTGTATAAAAATATTGATTTAGCTGAGTGGGTGGCACACACTTGTAATCCCAAGCTACTTGGAATGCTGAAGCAGCAGGATGGCAAGTTCAAGATCTGCCTGAACAACTTAAAGAGACCCTGTCTCAAAATAAAGTTTGAAAAAGGGCTGATATAGCTCAGTGGTACAGTGCTTTGCTTGTATGAATGAGGCCTTGGGTTCAATTCAATACCCAATACTGAAGGAAAAAAAAGGAAAAAGAAAATATCTACTTATTTACTTTTAAAATCCTAGAAAAGATGGGTAGAGAACCTTTGAGAAGCTGTTGCTAAAAAGTTTGTGTGCATTATTTTAAATGTACTAATTGATCTTCTTAAGAATGATTGTTTGGGGCTGGGGGTGCAGTTCAGTGACAGAGGGCTTGGCCAGCTGCACAGGCCCTAGATTTGATGCCCAGCACTGCAAAAAAGGAAAGAAAGAAAAAGACTTTTCCCTTTACACATAGTATTCCTGATGCTCTGGAGCTGTGGAGGATTTTTAAAACAAATATCCCCTCTTTTCAGGGCGTTTTAGGTAGATATGGCCTGACACAGAAGCTTATTTTCTTGATCTTCTAGCTTGTCAGTTTGATGTAGCATTTTCCTTTAAGAAGTTCCAAGCCCCTTGAAAAGTGCTTGCACCTTAGAGTTTATATGACACCTCCCAAAGACAGGCAGTGAGTCACTGTTTTGTATCCCTATTGGTGCAGCCTGGTTTGCCGTTTGCTGTTTGGAGATGGTGGGATTTCACTTAAGAAGACATGAACTTGTATTCAGCAACTTGAACAGCAATAAGGGTTGGGGGGGGGGTGGCTTTTCCAAATTGAGGACTTTGTCCAACTCTCTCCATTGTCAAGTCAGGTGCTCTTAATTCTCATCTGAGGGAGATTTGACTCCCATCATGGGGTCATTTGCCAATATTATAGAGATTTTTGATTGTCATGAGTGGGGAGTCTGCTGTTGCCATTGAAATAGGTGAGGCCAGGGACAACTAAAAATTCAACAGTACACAGGACGGACCCCCCCTCAACCCAGAATTACCTAGTCCAGAAAATCAGGAGTGCCATGGTTGAGAAACTGCTGTCAAGTAAGGTGAACACAGAGCCATGAGGTTTTGTTTGTGAAAGAGCAAAGCCTATACTAACATCCTGTTTTGTTCCTTGTCTGAAGATACGTTGGAGGTCATCGAACGAGTAAGATTATGAGGTTTGTTGATAAAATCACCAAGTCAAAATATTTCCAAAAAGCAACAGAGACAGAGTTCATTAAAAAGAAGATTGAAGAAGTCTCCAATACCCCCTTGCTGCTAACTGTTGAAGTACAAGAATGTCGAGGAACCCTGGCGGTCAACATTCCACCACCCCCAACAGACCGAATATGGTACGGGGAGGGTCCTCAAAGACAGCAAGTGATTCCTTTTGTTGCATGACCATAAACATCCCACCCAGCCTGCTTAACTTTGGGATTAGGGCAAGTACCATGGACAGGAGCTTTTTCCCACTATTTTCATGGAACCCCAGTATTCATTGTAAATTTGATCGAGCTTTCTTCTGTGAATGGTTAATTCACATTTAAGGATCCATCTTCACATGTCAGAAAAAGTTAAGGTGAATGCTTGAATTTTATGGGATGAGCTGTTTTTATTCTCAATCCTCCTCCACCCTAAAGATTACTCCTCTACCAGTGATAACAGCTGCCCTTTGTAGCAAACTGGTATTCTCTGTCCTGTATTCTCTGACCGTACCACTTGATTAATTCTCACAGCTTCTTGGTGGGGTAGGAGCCCATTTTCCCCACTCAGCAGGTGGGAATTACACATCCAAGTAAAGTCCAGGTGGTTAGAGAGAATCCTGAGTTAGATCTTGACATCCAGGAGGCTGGAGCACACGTACTTGGTGCTTGTGGTAGGAGGTCTATCCAAGAAGTTGGTTCTCATCTCCACCTGCAGGTTAGAATTACATGGGGACTTGTTAAAAATACAGATATGCCTGGCCCATAGGTCAGGCTTTGGGGGAGTTGCAGTGATTAACCCAAGGTTGAGAATCATTGAAATAAATTTTTCATAAGTCCAGCATCTCTTTGTGAATCTCAGTTTTAAAATTGGCAATCTGTGCTGAGGTTGTGACTCAGAGGTAGAGCGCTCACCTAGCACATGTGAGGTACTAGGTTCGAGCCTCAGCACCACATAAAAATAAATAAAATAAAAGTTTTTTAAAAATTTGGCAATCTAAATCCTATACAGTAGGTATAGTATATACAGTAATTGCAGAAGGAACTGCATTGTATCATAAACTACACTCTTACTATACTATAACTGTGATCCATCCCAGAGGGAAACCAGCATGCTGTGCATATCCACTGTATCCAGGAGGCTCTGTAGAAATAATCAGAGGAGGAATGATAACGCTGGTGTTTCCCAGGATAACTTAACACCTTTTTATTTTCTAAAACTCATATGGTTAGATAGAGAGAGATTGAAAAATGAGTATGATGAAAAGACAAAAAATAAAAGACCATAATCTTATCATTTAGAAATATTTCTTTTTAAACATTGAGTTGGTAAAATATTTCTTCTCCTTACTGCCAGCCTTTTAGATTTAGCAATTATAAATGGCACTGCTCAGTAAGGGACAAAATAAAGGCCTCTCGGCTAGTGCTGCCCATCACTGCTCCAGTGCTGAACTCTCTGCTGTGGAACTGCAGAGATAACTAAAGATAGGGAGAGCACTTAGAAATGTTTGTAGCAATTTGACATTGTATTTCTAAGACACTGGTTCATGACAGATTAACATCCTTAGGTAGTATGATAGCACACAGTGTCTTGTCTACTTTGCTAACAGTTCCGAGTGCCAGTCTGCTTCCCAGGAGGCCATAAAATATACAATGTGGAGTGTGGGGAGAAGAAGCAGGTTATAAAATGTCCTCTGTCTACGCATGCTTAGGAAGATGTGGGGAAAACTGACCCCACTCCTCTCAATGGTCCTTTCTTGGAGTTGACATTCAAAGAAAGGCTATGTCTTTCAAGTTCCAGTTTATACCCTTATGTTTTGGCTTTTGTAATATACATTATCTTATTTTATGAAAATTTAACAAATTACTATTTGGGGGGAAAACAAAAACCACAAAAGAATTTCCAGATCATGGACTTATGCTTCCTGGCTTTCCCATTGCATCAAAACTGATCTAAATCCATCATAGCCCTGTCCAGAGGACACAGGCAACTCACAATTCACTCTTGCTGTGCTGAATTGGCTTTAGAAGGGATTCTCAGAATAAGAGAGCACTTCAAGTAGTAATAAAGTCCCATGTGAATGAGGAGTGCTTGCCATCAGTGCTTGTCTACTTCTTTTCTCTGCTTCTAAATGTGGTTATTACTTGTTTTCTTCAAAAAGGTATGGTTTCCGGAAGCCGCCCTATGTGGAGCTGAAAGCTCGGCCAAAACTTGGAGAGAGAGAAGTGACTTTAGTTCATGTGACAGACTGGATAGAGAAGAAACTAGAGCAAGAGTTTCAGGTAAACCCACAGTGTTATCTGTGTTTCACTCCAAGTATGAAAGCTCTGGGTAGAACAGAGGTCCTGAACTCACTTCTGGGTCAGGTATCCTCTTTTGAGAATCCAGTGAAAACCATGGACCTATTGGACATGTCAACACGTGTCTATAATCCCAACAGCTCCAAAGGCTGAGGCAGGAGGATCACAATTCAAGGCCAGAGTCAGCAATTTAGCAAGGCCCTAAGCAACTTTGCTCCAAAAAAAAAAAAAAAAAAAAAAAGGACTGGAGATAGGCTCAGTGGTTAAGTGCCCCTGAGTTCAATCCCTGGGACCAAAAAAGAGAAAATAAAATAAAACAAACTACTTAGTTTGGACCTTCATCCCAGAGACAACACATATGATTAAACATGGGCATAAAACAGTGCTTCATTTATAAGATAATTTTATGTGTGAATTTTTGCAGTGCACTGAATCCTCAGTAATACTCAATCCTCAATAATACTTTAAAGCACAGTTGTCCTTCAGGACTTTGTGGATTAGCAAAGGAGTTGTTTACTTTGTGATGAATTTCACCTTTTGAAAAAGACTACTTTCTTTTCATGATAGTATATTTTGTTACCATTTTTCCAAAAATTATTTATTACTTAAAAGCAATTAATAACCATTTTCAAAAGTACAGTCTCAAGAGCTGGGGCTATAGCTCAGTGGTAGAGCTCTTGCCTAGCACATGTGAGGCATTGGTTTCCTTCTTTAGCACCACATAAAAATAAACAAACAAAATAAAGGTATTGTGTCCATCTACTAAAAAAAAAAAAAGTACAGTTTCAAAAGCCCTGAGGCATATTCACAGAACATTACTAAGTAGTCTTCAGAGGGATGTGGGTCAGAGAGCCAAATGATGACATCTTGTACCAGTAAACCAGTTGGGACTCTCTGGACTTTGTCCCTCCCATGTAAAGTTTGGAATTGACCAGTTGGCAACACCTGGCTGCCTTCAGGGAAGTCGCTCCCTGCCCTGCTGTGGTATTCATACCTTGCTCAATTTGTTCAGTTCAACAGACATTTGTGGAAACCCTTCCATGTCCTAGGGACCAAGTACCCTGGGAGTCCAAGAGGAATCAGGCCCCTCTCCAGATATCTTCTACATCCTTGGAGTTTGCTCAGCCAGAGTGCATTCTCCACGCCTGTTTTCTGTATTCTGCCATCAGACATAATGCAGTGTAGCTGAGGCCTTGGAATGAGCCATTCTCACCACATTTTGATCAGATGTTTTGTTTTGTGGTGTAGTGAGTGGATCAACCCAGGGCTTCGTGCCTGCTAAGCAAGTGCTCTACCACTGAGCTGTACCTCCAGCTCCTTAATAAGTTATTTGAAGCATAGTTGTCTTTCAATTTTTTGTGAACTAGCAAACAACTTGTTTACTTTGTAATGAATTTTACATTCTGAAGAAGACCTACATCCTTTTCATGATGGGATATTTTAAGATTTTTTCAAAATCATATTGTTATTTAAAGTTAGAGGGCTGGGGCTGGGGCTCAGTGGCAGAGCGCTTGCCTAGTATGTGTGAGGCACCACATAAAAATAAATAAATAAAGGCATCGTGTTCATCTATAACTAAAAAAAAAAATTTTAAGCTAGAGATTAAATATAACTGATAACCCATTTCTGAAAAAGCTTACTGTTATCACCAAGTGGGAAAGTTCTTTGAACCTAGTTTGGAAAAAGACTCTCATGCTGTTAATATTTTCCTTTCTCTTGTATCCCTAGGTCCTACATGGGAATTTGGGTGGGTGGGTCATCCCTTTTAGTGTAGGGGTTATTGGACTCCAAGGAGCAAGAGGAGGGAAAAGAGGGCAGAGATTGGATGCTGGTGCACTCAACACAAGTTGAGAAATGGAAGGATAGCTGTTTTTCTCTACCATAGCACCTCACTTGGTTTTTTGTGTATGCTTTTGTAAGAGTAATTATGGAAGATTGAGTGCATTGACAAAATTCATATATAAAATTATTTTATAAACAAGCAAAGCACCATTATAATCAACCAGATTATCCTTTGGGCATTAACTGTAGTAGGATTTCTTTTATAGATATCTTTGTGTGGTTTGGGTTTGAAAAAAAAAAAAGTTAACTTACATTTTGTTGATAACATTTAAAATAAATAAAATACATTCACTTGGAGTATGTGTTCTGGACATAATTTGGAAATATTGTCAGCAGTTAATCCAGTTCTCCTAAATTAATGTTGTTGAATGCTTGTTATTTTATCCAGTGTTTCTGCTTCAGAACTGACATACTGGTTCTTCATGCACTGGTGTAATTCCTTGGCTTTTTCTAAAGCACGGTGGAGGAATTGGTTTGAAATGTGTGGGTAAACTTTTCTCACATATACATATATTTTTAACTTGTCTAAAGCCTAAAATTATCAGAACAAAAGAGGGGGACAGCCTAACAAAGCATTATTCCACATGGCTGTTCTTTAATATCTCCCTACAGAAAGTTTTTGTCATGCCAAACATGGATGATGTTTATATTCCTATAATGCATTCAGCCATGGACCCTCGCTCTACTTCCTGCCTCCTGAAAGACCCGCCTGTGGAGGCTGCTGACCAGCTGTGATGGGTGAAGATGAGATGTTCCCAGTATTATGAGACCTAGCTCCAGGTGTGGGGTTCGTGGCTGCCATCTGTGCTGTGGTCCTGGCCTTTACTTGTGCCACAGCTGTTGTCTCTTCAAGGACTGCTTATGCCCTCTGCCTGCTGGTGCCCATTCCACTGTGAGGTGTCATTCCCCGCATCCGGTGACAGGTGTCTGGATTGCCTGCTGCAAAGCTTTGATTTGGCAAAGGAGAGCGGAAGAAACATCATGATGGGTCCAGAAGTTAAGTGACTCACATCGTGGCTTTTTTAAAAAGTCTACCAGTTTTTGTGGCAGCAAACAAGCACATTCAGAGCAAAGCTGTTCAACTGGAAGGCTTCCCCTTGCCTCCTCAACTCCTCCAAAGCTTTTCCTCAGGCAGCTGATGCACAATGGAACTTTTTCACTCGACACTGTACACAATTGCAGCCCTCCACATTCCCAGAATGTCAACATGGTATTGTGTGGAGTGGAATTTTGTGAGCCATTTCATTGTTGGTAAAGAGACAGGCATAGTAACTTTTTTTTCATGATTATTGTGCATTTTGGAAGCAAGTAGCCATAGAATACATACACTAACACTTTCAGCTGGGGTGGAGACAGTGAGATTTATGTGAACATTATTAACGGCAAAGCCATGAGATCAAACCATCCCAAGCCTTTACCAGTGAGGTACAATCACCTTCTAATCCTGATTGTTTTCCTAAGACATGAGCTTATGTGACAAAGTCGAACAGTGCACATAATGACTGTATCTCCTAGTATAGATGGGGTGGGGCCAGAAAGCCAGAGCCATGGTCTTTCCATCTGGCATTTCCTGTGTGCTCCAGAAAGCTTCATTTAGGAATCTGAATGCTTTGTTAATTTAATTGGTCTGGGAGTTTTGTGGGCAGTTCCTTTCTCATGGCCAAACAGAGAACTGCTGTATAATTATTTTAAGAGTCAAGACCAAACATTTGCTCAACATCAAACACTACATCTCAAAACAGACATGTGACTTTTCTTTAATGTTGCCAACCTAATTTTGTGCATCTGTGTCATAATGTTTAGTTTACAAGTTTGGGGGCTAATTGTATAATTTGTTTTGAGAAGTAAACTTAATTCAATTTATTGTTTAAAGCTGCATCCAATGTCAATTACCTTGGATAACTTTTAAAACTTACATCTGTGGACAAAGCTAATAGTGGTTTTGTAAACAGCACCTTGCCTGAACATGACTTTAAAGAAATTAATATATTGAAAAAATGTATTTGAACCCTTGATTATTGCACCATTAAAACATTTGACTTAAATTATTTGACCATTCCACCCAGTGTACTGTTCTAATTTCTCATTGTGTAGGCTGATTTACCTGTAAGAGTCCGCATGTCTTTTTCACTGGTCTATAACTTTTGTGCAATAACTAAAGGCAAAGGACTAGATGCACTACTGTGTAGAGATTACAGGACTGTACCCTATTGCACTTAAAAATAGTATGTGGGGATTTTCAATAGCTTGCATTGTTTCACAAAATAAACATCTCATGTCAATACTAGATAAGCATCTAAGTTATTTCTACTAAATCCTGTTTAGATAAGGACAGAATACAGAATGCTGGGTACTTGGGCCGCTGCCTGGCAATAGTAGCCTTCATTTACTGGATGGTCACTGTACTAGTCCTTTTAAGTGTCAGAATAATTGAGGAAGCCTTCGTTGTACAAAATGATTTTGAGCTTCCTCCGGAAGAAACATAACAGTGGGTTTTTTAAAGATGGAACTATCTGACTACTTTTTGAAAGGTTAGGAGACTTCTTTTGGTTAATAACTCAGGTAAACTGGAACGGTTTTAGGAAAAACTGGTCCAGACCTGCTTCCCTAAAGCATCAGTACAATTATGTGGCATCTTTGCCACCTTGTGTGGCTCAATCAATACAATGACCCCCAAAACTTAATCGGAGTCCTCATTCTTCCTCACTTCACATTTTGAGAACCCAATCTCTTTTGCCCTTTAACACTAGGCCAAGTGCAAGATCTCAACTGGAGAACTGTGAGGTTGCGTGGTCTTTTAGGTACAATGCATTTCAGTCACCCCGAGTTGCTCAGGTTTCTTGGGATAATTAGCTTCCCCAAAATTTTAGGCCCACTGTAGTCAAGCCACTTGCCAGCTTTTTTATATCACAGCTACACCTTAGCCAGAAACTAAAACTCAGATCCAGGCCGAAGCCAGTTCCCATCAAATCCTATTGCTCAAGATCAGTCTCCCCTCTTGCCATTCCACAGCATGCAACTAAACCCGCACATCTCACTAATCCCATACTTAGGGCTTGGGACTTAGTGGAGCAACAAATGTATGCAATTTGGGAAAATAACGGGTACACTCACACAAAATACGCAGTGGGGCCTATGGCTATCTCCGTCATCCCCCAGGACACTGCAGCTGAATCCTCCCTCTAAACTGCCCACCTCCAGCAGCATCGATGCTGATCCTGGGCATGGCCATGTAGCTCGCGGTTAAAAGGGCCGCCAGCGAGAGGCAGGCGGCCCCAGTTATGCGCGAGCACGTCCTCTGGCGCTGCAGCCTGACCCCCGGCGCCACGCGCAGGCGCAGCAGGGGCTCAAAGGCAACGCGTCGCCAATGAGGGAGACACACACACCAGCTCTGGGTCAAATCATTTTATTGAGAAGGTTGGAAATTAGGGAGTGCGGAAGCGCTGAAATTATCGATTAAATCCGACGTCCTCCGCAAGGCCAGACCTGCAAAAGCAACAGCAGTGGGTCAGAGGGAGTGAACCCGCCCGCCCTTCCTCACCCACCGCCGCGACAGCCGGCTCAGACTACAGTTCGCATCACCAGCGTCAGCAGTCTAACACGTGCTTTATTTGGAATGTCATCACGGCTGGCTGAAAGCCTCCCACCCACGTCCCGGGCCTGCTCCGCCACACAACAGAACAGAGGGCACCTCACCTTGCCGCCGCCGAAAGGCTGAGAAGTGCCTGTGGCTTTTACTTAAAGGAGCACAACGGAAGTGGTGGGGTGGGCTTTACCGCTATTAACCAATAGAAAAACCACACCTCTGACCATGTGCATGTAAAGTTGTCTGATGATTGGCTGTGTTCGCTAGGTCCTCCAGAGTATAGAGTGGTCACACACCAACCATAGAGCTAGGCGTCTAAGCGAGAAGTGTGAGGGTTGTACAGTCCTGGAATTCTTCGAATTTTTTTCCATATCAGGATCGCCGGTTGCAATTAGCGATTCCTTTACAGCGTGCAAAAGAAACCTTTACAGACAGGAGACTAAATTGTATGAGACCTTCTTTTCGAGGTCAGTCTAGACAATTTGGCAAGACCCTGTCTCAAAATTAAAAGGAAAAATCTTAGAAATGATTTTTCCTTTTAATTAGGAAAATTTACCGGGGTTTTTTTAATACATATTTTAATACATATTTTTAGTTGTTGATGGACCTTTTTTTTTATTCATTTATTTATATGCAGTGCTGACAACCGAACCCAGTGCCTCACACATGCCTGCCAAGCATTCTGCCACTGACCACAACCCCAGCATAATTTACTTTTTTTTTTTTTTGTACTAATAAAAGCAGTCCAACCTATGAGTCTGTTGAATGGGGGTTCTTATTTCATTATTTTCTATGTAATCTTTAAATTTAAAAAATTCCTCATTGATCCAGAGCAGTAGTTGTTTTTACAAGTGTTAAGCACCCTCGAGACGATTATTTATTTTCCTTATGGTCTAAACTTTTGTCATTGCAATAGTTATTACCTTGTAGTACAGTTTCTACTTGGGGATATATAGATCTTCCACAGATTCTCGAAATAAAGATGTTTTCACTGTCTTGTGCAAAAATGAGATGAAGTATTGATTCAGTGATAGCTGTGTAGTAATTACATTGTCAAAATCTTTGTGTACTATGTACTTGATTGGAAGTGTGTGTGCTGTCATTTACTTACACTGATGTGTTAAGATTAAGCTTTAAATACCAAAAGCTGTTGAGGATGCCAAGTATCCAATACTTAGGTTTGGAAGCGCAAAATGGCCATTTTTGAAAAGAAGTTGAACAGTTTTTAGAGAGAGAGAGAATTTTTTTTTTTTAATGTTTATGTTTTAGTTTTCGGCGGACACAACATCTTTGTTTGTATGTGGTGCTTAGGATCAAACCTGGGCCAAACGCATGCCAGGTGAGCGCGTTACCGCTTGAGCCACATCCCCAGCCCTGAACAGTTTTTTGTAAAGTCAGACATACACTTACCATGTGACCCAGTGGTCCCTGGGTGTTTACCCAAGAGAAATGACAGCACGTTCACACAAAATCTCTGAACATAAATGTTCACAGTAACATTATTCATAATCCCCCCAAACAGGGAGGATTAAAATGCCCTTGAAGGGGTACATAGATAGGCAGATTATGGTACACCCATACAACTGAAAGTTACTTGGCAATAAAAAGCAATGAACTATACATAGATGCCCAAGCTTGGGAGTGTTCTCAGAGTGATTATGCCAAGTAAAGGGAGCCAAACTCAAAAGACCATAGGATTCCATTTATGTGACATTTTGGAAAAGACTACAGGGATTGGGGATAGATCAAGGTTTTCTGGGATTGGTAATGTGTGGAGCATTTGACCAAAGGGATAGCAGGAGGCATTTCTTTTTGGTACTGAGAATTGAACCCAGAGGCATTTTACCACTGAGGCACATCTTCAGTCCATTTTATTACTTTGTTTTGAGAGAATGTCTCACTAAGTTGCTGAGACTGGCCTTGAAACTTGTGATCCTCCTGTCTCAGCCTTCTGAGTCACTAGGATTCCAGGCAGGTGTGAATGCACCTGGTTTGGAGACGTTTCATTGTGTGTGTGTGTGTGTTTAGTTAGTAGGAGGCATTTCTGAGGATGAGAGAACTGACTGTCCAGCATCTTCATTGTGGTGGTGTTTACATGACTTTATGCCTTTGTCAAAATTCACAGAACTTCATTGTACTGTCATGTGTAACTAATTAAAACAAAAAAATTTCACAGAACTATTTACTAAAATTTTACGGTATGGAATTTTAAAACAAAATTTAAAAATTATGTTCCCGTCATTTTTTTTCCATTATTTTAATGAAACAAAATTGGCTGTGTTCGCTAGGTCCTCCAGAGTATAAAGTGGTCACACACCACCCATAGAGCTGGGCAGCTAAGCAAGAAGTATGAGGGTGATACAGTCCACGAATTCTTCCAATTTTTTTCCGTATCATGATCACTGGTTGCAATTAGCGATGCCTTTACAGCATACAAAAGAGACCTTTACAAACAGGAGACTAAACTGTATGAGACCTTCTCTTCCAGACCTTCTGGAATTATAATAATTAAAATAATATTATTTACTTTATATATATACTTTATATATATACTTTTTATATAGTTTGTGGCTAGGCTATTTAGCTCATAAAGGTCATGGCTGATAATATTTCTGTCAAGGATTACATATATCTGATATAAAATGACTATCTACTTGTATCTTTTGTTTATCTGATATAACTTCATCCATCCCCCCTTTTTTTTTTTTAGTTGTCGCTGGACCTTTATTTTATTTATTTACTTATTTATATGTAGTGCTGAGAATCGAACCCAGTGCCTCACATGTGGTAGGGCAAGCGCTATACCATTGAGCTACAACCACAGTCCCATCCTTTATTTTTAACCTTTCTATACTTTGTTTTCAATGTGTCCTTTTATATGAAACACATGGTCAAATCACAGGGTTCAGTCCAATATATGTTTAAAATTACATTTAAATTTTTATTGTGAAATATATCTACATAGAAAAAAGTGCATATAAAGTGTATATATGGTTTAAAGAATATTTATAAACATTCTCTACCTACCATATAGTTAAGAAAAATGACATCATTGATAACTTTGAAATACACTTTTTTGGAGGGACCTTTCTGAATCTATCTCCCTCTATCACTCAAAGAAAATCACTATTCTGAACTTTGCATTTGTCTTGTTTTTGTTTTTCTTTTATAAACCAGTCTTGGGAGGGACCCACCATCACTTCCCACATTCTATTTGTCCAAAGAACCAACCCTGATATGAATACCAGGGGGAGTGGGGGAGCCCCTCTTGGAAGGTGGCTACTGTTTTAGTCAACTTTTGCATCACTGTGACCAAAATACCTGACTAAGCTTAGGAAAGGAAAAGTGGCTCTCCGTTTCAGAGGTCTAAATCTATAGATGGCTGACTCCACTGCTCTGGGCCCAAGGTGAGGCAGGACAACGTGGAGGAAATCCCCAGAGGAGGAAAGCTGCTCAGCTCTTCGGAGTCAAGAATCAGAAAGAGAAAGGGAGAGGGTTAAAGGGGCCCCAAGGAAGATTCACCCTTCCAGGGCACACCCCCAGTGACTCACTTTGTCCAGCCACACCCCACTGGCCTACAGTTACCACCCAATCAGTCCATTCAAACTAGATTAGATTACAGTTGTCACAGTGCACTTATTTTACCTCTGAATATAACAGGACCTTTGGGGAGGACACCTCATATCCAAACCAAAATAGCTACCATATTGAGGCTAATTGCCTAGGACATGGTCTATTTTGCACTTGAAGAGAGTGTATATTCTTTTGTTGTGGGTATGAAGTTCTATGAGTGTCAAGCAGACGAAGGTAGTTGGTGGTGTTATTCACATCTCCAGTAGCTGTGCTTCTCAGTGGAGCAGTTTTGCCACCTAGGGACATTTGGAGACACTTCAGTTTTTCACAACTGGGAAGGGTGCCACTGACACCTATTGGGGAGTGTTGTGGGTTGAATTGTGTCCTCTAAAAAGAAATGTTGAAGCCCTAACCCTCATCACCTGTGAACGTGATCTTATTTAAAATCAGTCTTTACAGATGGGTTCATTAGAATGGTCCCTAGTCCAATATGACTGATGTCCTTATAAGAATAGGAAAATTTAGCTGGGTACAGTGGTGCTACACTTGCAATCCCAGCGGCTGGAGAGGCTGAGGCAGGAGGATCCTGAGTTCAAAGCCAGCCTAGTGTTGGCATCATTGCAGCATACTCCTTACTCCCACCCCCACTGTATGAATATGGTTCTTATTCCCAAGAAATAGAAAGTAGCCTGAGATAAAACCTGCCGGCCTGGAGCCGGTGTCTCCCTGTTCTCTTATTGAGAGACAGGAGACCACTCACCTGCCCCTGAGATGGGGACATACTGGTTTCCTTGTTCTTTCCTTGAGAAGATAACCCCTTATCTTAGAGATAGGAAACTGCCTGTCTCTGCTCCCAAGAAACAAACTTGCCTTCCACAAGATCAGGGGATGCTGGCTGTGTCAGTCAAGACCAAGCCCGCCCTAGTGCGCAGTCGTGATTCTAGCCTATAAAGGTGACGTTCGAGGGTTCAAGAGTTGCTGCTGCTGTCCCTCCTCACTGCTTCTGTCCCTCTCTCTGCCCAGAGCAGCCTTCTCAGGCTCCTGACAATGAACCTGCTTCGTATCCCAGGTGTGTGCGATCAGTCCTTATCCCAGGTGTGTGTGTGTGTTATTACTCCTTATCCCAGGTGCGTGTGAGGTCAGTCTTTATCCCAAGTGTATGCGATCAGTTCTTATCTCAGGCGTGTGTGATCAGTCCTGTGCCACTTTTCTTTCACTTAGCAACTTAGTGAGGCCCTAAGCGACTCAGCAAGGCCCTGTCTCTAAATAAAAAAAATTTTTTTAAAGGAGTCTGGGGATGTGGCTCATTGGTTAAGTGTCCCTGGGTTCAATCCCTGGTACCAAAAAAAAAAAAAAAAGGAAAATTTGGTCATGGAGATGCACAAGAGGACAGCCATTTCAGAACAGAGGTGGAGACTGGAGTGACCCTGCCACAAGCTGAGGAACACCTAGGACTAGCTACCAGAAAATGGGAGAGGCAAAGGATTCTCCCTTAAAGGTCTTGGGGGGAGCACGGCCCTGCCACAGCTTTTATTTCAGACTTTTGGCCTCCAGAGCCGTGAATTGATAAGTTTTTGTTGTTTCAAGCATTCAAGTTGCAGCACTTTGTTAG